GGAAGCCGGGAAAACTTACTTGGAAGGCAGGACAAGAGAGATGCCACGATGGAGGGAGAGCCCGTGCGGCTCGTTAGCTGCGTCTATGTGCAGCTGCGGCCGGCAGCTGACGATGACGTCAGACGCTGGCCGGCGGATTTAAAAATGGCGGCCGCCGCTCTGGAGGCGGCGGATAGCAAGGGGAACAAACGACGGTCTGAGCCACCCACGACGCTAGCCCCACGGAATGGATGACGAAGAGCCAGCGTGCCAGAGAGGACGGTGGCCCGGAGAGAAGGAGCGACGACTGGATCGCCGGTGGATAGAGCCCGAAGTGCTGGATCGGGTGAGCTAAGGAAGATTGAGACCACCCCGAAGGATCCAGAGCACCCAGAAGTAAGTGCCGAGGCCGTGGGTGCGGGAATCGCTGAAGAGGAGCGAAAGGCCGAAGGATCACCTGGCGGGAGAGAGAGATCGGGGCGGGATTGCCACTGAGAGTAGAGGACACCGATTGAAGGATAAGGGGAGCAGCACTAAATAGCCAGGAGGCGTTACTCCCAGGCACGAGCATAGGGTGTTGGTGGTGGGTCAGCGAGGTACTCGGTACAGTAGAGCTCCTTTGAGGAGGCACGTAGCCCATGGGGTGTAGGGTGACTGGTCAGTGGTGAGATATCTATGTAGTAGGGCTAAGACACCAATACAGGCTGGTGCGAAGGGTCCGACGTCAGGGCGGGAGTGACCCAAGGGATTTGGGGAAACGCGAAGATGAAGGCCGCTATAGAAGCCTGCACGACCATCACTGAGCAGGCACAGGGAAGTGGAGGCCATAGGTGCCATAAGGCCGGGATGTAGGGGTGGCAGGAGCCCCATGTGTAACCGACGAGGCAGACCCGGGCCACCGAGGGGCCTGTGAACTAGCCCCGCCCCACCAGTGTAACAGCAAGTCGTGGCAGGCAAGAGCGGGGTTGGCGACTTGGGAAGACGAACGACCACGGTAAAACCCACGCCCGGAAAAGGGAGTAGTCACCGACACAGAAAGCTAGCCTCATAGTAGCGACTCACGAAGGCCCGTCGGGGACATACAGCATTACATGGAAAGCAAGAAATGACAGTTGATTGTGTATATCCTAAGAACCACAGAGCAGTGTATGATATGGCCTGCAGGATTAGCAGGCAGTGCAAAATCTGAAAGCAGAAAAATAGCTATTGTCTTATTTTTCTCAGTGTGGATGTGTGTACTGATAGCTTCATGGCTATTTGGTTGCATGCCTACTGGAGACTTAAATAGCTTGAAATAGTTAGAACACAGATAAATCAGTCAGGGCTAACAAGTAAAGCGTACAAGACAGTGGTGTGTCTGCAACAGCAATATGGAATTAGACACACAAAGTAAATGATGATTTCAGTGACATTTGAAGGGCTTGAGGTTTGTGTGAGATTCCTCACCCCAAATAGTGAATGGTTTAATGTTTTCAGTTACTGTCCAAATAATGCTCAGCTATATAGAAAATTGATGGATAGCAGCACAAGTGTCCACTGGCAAAAATAAGACTTGGGGAGATCTGAAAACACTATCCATATTTTACAATTGAAAATTATTATAGGCAAAGAAAGTTAGGGTACATTTAATTTTATACAAGTGACTGACATTCACCAGAATGAGCTGAGATCTGCTGAGTTAGTTCAGTCCAATCATACCCAGTGTTCATATTCTTACCTCCTCTTCTCCCTCTTCCTGGTACTGTTCATCTACATTATCTTCTTGCTGGTCAGGGTTTCCTGCCATCTGTAGAAAGTGTGTGGGTGGAAACTTAGTTTTGCAATACTTAATTTTAGTAATTCTGAGTCTTAGAGCTACTTGCACTACACCTATAAAATGTGGTTTCTATAAATTGCTATTCAACTGGATATATCATTTAGATTTTGTCAAATTAAAAAAAAAAAGACAGTAGAGTGATTGTAATGAAATTACTGAATGGTACAGGTTGAAAGACGCAGACCAAGGAAATTACAGTATAAAGGCAAATACAAAACGCACCATGCAGCATAATATCCAGAGGAAAAAAAACTGTCAGGGTTGCACATCATAAGGTTGTGCATAACTTGGGGCAATATGGAAGCCCCCTAGAAAGGAACTGAGTGAAGAACAAATTACTTGTAGTATTATAATAGCAGGTTGTTGATGGATGAAGCAGCCAGACTGGAGACCCAGCCAAATCAGAGTATGGAGCCTGGCATAGGTCAGGGCCCGTGGCATTAGAGACAAGGGCAAGATGTCCCCAGACCTATGTGTATACATAGTTTAAAAGTGATCTCCTTAAAGAAAATTAAACATGGCTTTAGAGCACTAATCTTGGCCTTCCTCCGGTGGCATCTTTAGAGCAGCCATTTCAAAGTAGCTGTAGAGGCACTTGGACACCTACACATGATCTCTTTCATCAACTCACCACTAAATGGTCCTCCATTTCTGGATGGCCCTGTTTTTGATCATTTTGTTTATGCTGCTCATTCCCATCTGGCATATTCTCTTCTCTCTCTTGTTCAGCTTCCTCAAATTCATCTTCTCCTTGATTGTTAGGATCATCAGCTGGGTTCACATCTTCAACAGCTACCTTCTGTAATTTTTGGAAGTTATTCTTCTATAGACACACTAGTCTTATCATATAATTGTATTTCACTTGAAAGCTGTCACTAGTTACCTTAGTCAGTCACATACACTTTGAAGCCAAGAGGAGTCTTCCCCTTGGCTTCAGTGAAGACTGGATCAACACTGGGTGATTATGGAAAATGTCAGGTTTCCAGTACTGGAAATGTACAGACCTATAATGTGGACATCTGTCTACTAGATATTAAACAGAGACTGAACTGTTTTGTTTCTTCATAAGTTGCCAAGTGATGACAGGCAAAGGACAATAAAGACAGTTCAGAATGGTCAAATGCCAAAATGCTTATTGGGTCTGGACTTCAAAACCTTACACTCCTTTCAAAGTCATCCCATTCAGAGAAAGATTGACATTGATCTCATTTGTAACAGTTACTCAAGGAAGAAAGGGTCCCATGGTCCATCACTCTGCTTTATGGTTATTTTTCTTTATGGTTTCACAGATTTAAGGATGTCATCTACAAAGATACCAGACGTCTCATATGGCTGATACGTACTAGCCTTTTAAAAATATCTGCCACACCATCCAGTCTGTAATCATAAACACATCCTACATACACCAAAGCTGAACAAAAGACAGCGAGGTTTATATGCAGAATTGGATACATGCTCCCTCTTCTCCCGCAGTGGCATCCTTAAAGAGGCACTCACCACCACTCTAACAACCAATGAGAAACTCTTTTACTGTTTTGTATCCAAGACTTCCCAAGTCTCAGGTCAAAATTCTCACGTCATTTTCTACTGAAAGGAAAGACTTGAGATATGCACAAAGGCAGATTGCCTTTAACAATGAAGGCCATATTAATTTCTTACAAAACAAACAGAACCAAAATACAAGACAAGTTATGTTCAAGACCTTATTTCAACAGCCAGCTGGCTTAGCTGTTGAAAGCAGCTGGCTCACCTGATTTTGTGTGTGTTTTTTAAACTTCAATAGCAACTTCATTACATGTTAAACTCAGCCTCTCAGTTGTACTCACTGGTTCATTGGCCTCCTGGTTTTCTGCTTGATGATCTGGTTCTTGTTGTTCCTGTTCGTTATTCTGATCATCATCTTCAGCTTCATCCTGGTGCTGAGTGTCCCTTTCATATGCTGAGAAAATTTATTATATGAATTACAGCAGTATATACAGACTCCAGTTAGTAAATAGGATCCTGCACAAAGCCTACTCAAAACAACATAGTAATCCTGTCCATGTCCTGAAAAGCATAAAACCTAAATAGACAAAGCAAAGGTATTATGCTAATGGATTATGTGTAGAAAGATTAAGCGACTTGCCCATGGCCAAACAAGTAGTTTATTTCAGGGCAAGAAAATGGATTCAGATGTCCAGAGTCCCAGCCCAGTGGCCCAACCACTGGGGCTGTGCTTGTAACTGTAACTAGATCTCTACCTCAGTGAGTCAACTCAAGCATCAAAACCCAACAAAATCTGAGTTACTAAAAGCCCGGCTGTCTTTTTTGAAATCCAAGAAACCTGGAAAGCAGAAACAGAACAGATATTACAACCCTTCATTAAAGACTGTTCAGGGAGGATGGCATAAGGACAGAATTCAAATCTCACCTCCCTCCTCCTCCTGGATACCATGCTCCTCTTCTCCTTGTACAATATCATGGTCCATGTTGTCATAATGAGCTCGTTGGCTAAGAAGGTTATAAGTAAATACATTATTTCTGTTATGAAAAGAGCTCTTGCTCCTAAAATATGGGATTCTTTAAGTATGGTTTCCTTGCATTTCATTTAGCTAAATTCTTCCATTACTGTTTATAAAAGAAAATACACCTTGCAAAATGAGCCATTCTTGTGCAGGATCCTAAAGCTTCTCTGTAACATTTTACCCAGCTACAGAAATGAACAGTACTACCTGTCTACTTGATGTTGTGAGGACTTGCAAATTAGTGTTTGTCAGTGCTCCACTGAAATACAGGCTCCTCTGGGTTGAAGGGTAACCACCAGTGAGCAAAAAGCAATGCTACAGTTGGAGCAGAGTAAATTTTAGTCAAAAAAACATTACAGGAAAAAACTCTTGGGAAGTATGAGAACTTTAATGCACTCTCTGACCAGGTAGGACTTTTACTTTACAAGACTTCTACTTTCCAACAGAATCCCTCTGGAGGATTATGCTGAAAATGAATCAAATATAACTATAAACTATATATATATAGATATAGATATAGTTATCTATATCTATATCTAGAGAGAGAGAGAGAGATCTATACATCTTTATATCTATACATCTTTGCAAGATAATAGCCAAAGCCACCCTGAATTTTAAATCAGTGGTTCTGAGTATGGGAGGTATTTCTGAAAATGCATTGACTACTTTCTTTTCAGGCTGGACTCCATGAAATCCAAAAGTACACAACACAAGGTGCATATATGAAAAAAAAAGTTTACCTCTGCTGGTTTTTATACTGTTCCTCTCCTTGTTCAATCTGTCTCTGTAGCATGAGCTCTCTTTCTTGAAGCTGTTGCTGCCGTAATAGTTGTCCTTGCAGTCTCTGCTGACGTAGGGATTCCTGATGTTCTCTTAGCCGATTGGCTTCCTCGGCTCTTTGGGCTGCCAGGCGCTGCTGTTCCAACTGTTCTTCATAGGCTGGTTTGTAACTTTTAGTGATAGTTTTTGTTGGAGTTTCCTGGGACACAAACACGTTTGAATATACACACTATTTTGGGTGTTCATGTCTTCCTTCACTATCAGAATGAGCTTCCCAAGAGAATATTTATTACCAGCAATAAACATGCCAAAGCCACTAATCACAAAAATGAGAAGGGCATGCAGGCAACAGAAAAAGGCATGCAGGGAATGGAAGCACTAGGAAAAATATGGGTAAAAGGTTTGTAATGATACAGTCAGTTGTCACAGGAATAGCCTTTTATAACATAATTAGAATATAAAATGCTGAAATATAAACAGTTTCAGCAACATAGGTATGGCGAGGCCAGACTTCACCAGAACAGTTCTCAGATCCCATGGTAGCAGGTATTTGCACATATTAGAAAAAAAATTATTGGTACTACTTTTGTCTTACTCTACCGGAGAAATGTTGCGGGTGTACAGTGTTGGCAGAGTTCAGGGGAAAGAAGCAAAAGTTCGTAAACGCTTTTCCCTACTCAATTCCAGTGTATAATACAAGACCTTCATCCCACCCTTCTTCTACTGTCTCATTTACAATATCTTAATTATATCAAGTGTGCTAAAATATTCAAGCACAGCTGGATAACCGAAATGGTGTGAAAGCATAACAATACTTTTTTAGTTTACTAAAAAATGACAGGGAAATATATTGAGACCACTGCAAAAAAAAGCGGAGAGTCGTATATGCTCTACCCATGGAATTCACTGGCATTCAAGCAGGACGGGGGCTTCAGTGAGAGCTTATAGATTGCTGGCAACTGGGCATAATGCAGGACAATATTTTGATACTGGACCCAAATCATAATATTAAGATGTCTCTGACAATGTTCCTCTTGAGTAAAGAATTCTCATCATCCTTGAATTATACAATGTTTTTTGTGAGCTGGGTAAATGTCTGCAGGGGACTAAAAAATTACTTTTTCTATTTAAGACCTGACCTAGAATGTAAATCCAGGTCTGGCAGTTTCTATTTAAAAGCTTCATGAAACCAACCTTGGGGGAGTAGGGGGAATCGGGGGATCCTGGAAAATCAGTAAGAACATGACTTCTATATATACACATGTATTAAGGCTCTGTCAAAATATTAGCAAACACTTGAATGGAAAAAAAAGTGTTTACCGGAGTTAGCTAACTGCAAATAAAACATGTATTTATTAAGACCAAATGAGGCATCAAATCTAATATTGCAGAAGAGAGTTGCTCAAAAAAGCTAGCATATTTGCATGCACATATGCACAGCCCAAATACTGTAAGCTGATTCCATCTAAATATACAGCTCTTGGGAGATAAAACTTGCCCTTCTGCACTGTCTGAATTGCTACCAGAATTAACATCACTTAAGACAGGCTCTGGATTAGTCAACTCTTTAAGCACACATTTGAGTCCTATACATCTAAGAGCAATGTCTTAATCCACAGTTGTATGTAAACCTAAATTATACTCATCATGTCTACAAATATGCAGATGCAAATCAGAACAAGCAATGGACAGAAGCCAGAACATAGGGCCACTAATTTAAGGAAAGGGTTTAGTACATTAACCATGTACCTCTGAAAGAGTGTGGTCACCCAGCATGTTGGTTTCTTCTTCTTTTTGTTCCTGCGCTTTCCATTCATGTTCATCAGGTGTTTGATCCTGTTCCTCCACCAAGTGTTCAGGTTGCCCTGCCTGCTCCATCTCCTCCTCTTCAAGTTCTTTTTTACGCTCTTCTTCCACTTGGTCCACATGTTGCACTTCATCTTCTCCTGCTTCTTGTTGCTCCTGAATATTTAGTTCTTTTGGAGAGTGACCACCATTTCCCCTTCTGTCCAAATGAAATGATCCAAGTCTACCTTCCCTTCCCTGAATATTTATTTCTTCCCTTTCTTGTGGCTTATCCTCAGTCTCAGGAGCCTGTGGGAGATGAAATATTAAATCTGTACTTAAAAAAGGTGCTTACCTGTAGAGTACAGTACACTGTAAACTGGCATAATAAGCATGTATCCGTAAAAAGAAATTAATGTCTGCCTGGTTTCATCATTAGTTATTAGGTCAAGCAAATATTCAAAATAACCACTGAAGTAGTAGCTTGACATCAGTCTACTTTTTTGTGGGTGTAAACAGAGTTGTTTATTGTGGGCATTTTAACGCCCACATTTAGCCTCACAGAGAATATACAGATCATCTCAGGAACAAAGTTATGCCTTCACAAGGAGTGACTGCTGAACATTTAATCCATAATGTATAATACTTATTTTGCATCCTTTTCAACACCATAGTTAAAAGAGAGATTTTTTCCAAGGTTAATCAGTAGTAGTATCTTATTTCATTAGTAGAGTATTGTTGAAGGAAGAAATTACTTGTGGCATGATAAATTGCTTAATGTGAATAAACATGGAATTATTGAGAAGTTAAAATCATTACGGTTTGACCATACAAGTGAAGGAACAGATTCAGATATCTTTGCTCACACTGAGTGGTACCTTACTTCAGAAGTGTGTTCACTGATTGCTGTTGGAGGTGAGATTCTACTTAGCATGAGTAGAAATATCAGACTCTGGTCCTTGGCCCTACATGTTTAAGAAATAACAGTAATATGAACTAACTCATGGCACTTAATTTAAAATGAAACCCAAAATATGCTAAGTAGTACTGCAACCCAGCTATGAGTAGCACTTGATTTTGATTCAGAAATGTTGGAGTCCCTGCTTCCAAACACCACGTGGAAAATAAGACTGAGTTGAAATTACAATCCATTTGAGCTACAGTTACATTTTAAAGCATCTGCAGAAAAGCTAACCATAAGAGGTTTTTCATTACCTTTTAAACAACAGATATCTATCATTTAAACTACCTGAGATTAGCCAGCCAGCTGATTTTTAGATTTATGAGAATTACTTTGAAAAGCCACAGAGCTTAAGAGCTTTTGGAACAATGTGGGAAAGAATAATTATTGAACACACTTTCTCCAAACCCATATCAATGTTAAACTGTTCCTCAACTCTTCACTTTAGAGACGAGTCCTGACACAGCAAAGCAATTAGGCATGTGCTTATATCCCTTACAGATCAACAGGCCTTAAACCTATGGTTTCCTGCACCAGGGCTTTCCCCATTGCAGTTTGGAGATCATCAAAAAAGTTTCTAAGGCAGTTGATTTACCTGCTTGTGTTCTCCAGCTTCATTCTCCTGATGTGCTGGCAGGTGACTATAAGGAACTGGTGTCATTGCTGCCCTCAGTTGCACATTTGGTTGCTCTAAACGTTCAGGCTGTCGAAAGCTTGGCATTTTGTTGAGCGTATCCTTCAGCTGTTTATATTCTTCTACCTGGGACTAAAATTGAAAAGCATTCATTATATTGTACTGAAACAAGCATCTCATTGAAACACAGCAACTCCAGAGTGATTTTCTTGACAACACAGGTATGTAGAAGCACTTGACATGCACATCAGATCAAAACCTCCTGGGTTCTAAGACTGGCTGCTTCCATGCATTACAGTATCCTGATTTAATATGTACACCATCACCCACAGTGCACATGCAAATACGAAGTGTATTGGAAAGTATCCCCCGGCACACAGCTGAAGATTAGTTTTTCATGCTAGGCAGAAGATTGTCAGAAGTGAATGATTTGATTTTCTTTGTACACTTTAAAATGACAGAAACTGAAAGCACCACACTCATTCGTTCAGAAGCAAAAATGCAATTCCTTTTAGAAACAGAAATCAAGTTAATAAAATAAAAAACAAACCCCAAAACATAAAAGTGATTAAAGCTAAGCAATCCTCAGCCTTTAGACAATAGTTACTAATAGACAAGAAACAAGAGAAAATAGGGGAGTAAGGAAAAAAAATTCAAACTAGATTGACTTTAGTGAAGAGTAAGAAATAAAAAGTATCGGCGTTTCTCCTGGTGGAAGAAGAGAGGAATTTAGACTTTGTAAGTGACCTTAACACCCAAAGTGAAATGTTACTTGTGTTCACTTGTGTTGGTGTCTCTTGGATCAATCCAAAGTCTCAGCACCTTCAATAAGTTACCCATGGAGGGGACTATTCAGCTAAGCAGGCAGAATTTTTCAGAAGGGATAAAACTCCTCCAGCAGATATAGATATAGAAAGGTGCCTACACAAGTGAGTTTGAAAAGAATCAGATCTTCTACTGTTCTAGCAGAAAACTTAAATGAAACTCTCCAAGGTTTTACTTTGAAAAGGTACATTTGGCAATTCTCCTTTCCTTTTTCCTCTTCTTTTTTAAAATCCAAGTTAAGTTTTTTACTGATTGGCTATTGTCTACCCCCACTGACTGTCAGTTTCCCATTGTATCAATAGAACAGCACGCACAAAATGCACTGTATGTCACTGTATGCTGTACTGGACGTTCCCTAGAAAGTGAAATCCATAGTGCTACAGATTAACATGATGAAATACATAGCAATAGCTCCGAAGTTTGACACACCTCGAAGCAGCTTCAAAAGACTGTAATATCCATTAAAAACAGACAGACCTAAAAAGCAAAACAGAATATAAAGCAGTTACACGTAGCCACTTTGGAGGGATCCCTTTTGCCTGATGGCTTGTTTGGGGACTTAGCAGAACCTTTTATATAGCGTTTCTAGAGATTACGTCAAATTTATTAGCCAGATGAATCTGGTTAAGGATCTTAAGTATTAAAGGTTAACATCTGAATTATTTTGTACTTAATTTGCAATCTAAAGATACTGCTACACAAAGGATGTCCAAAGCAGTACCCCATATTCCTCCAATTCAGATTTCACAGGCTGGTACTCTCCTCTAGACGCATCAAAGATGCAGCTCATGGGCCAGATCCAGCATCTATTCTTTCAGCCCACTGAGCTTCTTGTGGATCTTGGACCGGGCCTGCATATGGCATGCCTTGGACCGGTGCTGTGTGCAACACAAACCAAAGCTGTAGGTTTTGTAGTTAAAGGACTAAATCAAAACCCAGTAAAATAATTGGAAAGTTTCCCATTGGTTCCAGCAGACCTTAGACCAGGGCCTAGGTAAGCTCATAGGACAAGGCCTCACTAAACAGATGCTCTAGAACAGGGGTTGCAAACTGTGGTATGCATACCCATGGGAGTACAAGACATCTCTAGGAGGTATCGGGGGAGAAATTGTGTACTAGTAGATTTAATTTTCATTATAATACTTGGCATTTAAGGGGTTAATATTTAAAATGTACATCATGGGGTACACAGGCAGCTGTGTAATCTGGAAGTGGGTATGCAATAAGAAAAATGTGGGAGCCTCTGCTCTAGAACTTTTTCTTTAGTAGAAGACTGGCCTTTATTAGTACTTCTGAATTTCAATTGGTGGTCTATTTTCCTTCAGCCATACTCTCCCTCGGCTTCACCAACTTAACCTTTATACCCCAACTCACTTCATTGCACAATCCATACGCAAGACTAGATCCCATAAATGTGTACTGTGAATTCTGAGTGACTTGTTTCTTTCAAAGTGGTATATTCAAATATCAGAGACTGTGGACCCTGAGCTAAGAGAACTTCTGCAAGAGAAATAGGAAAAAAGGAAAGAAAGGTCTTTGGCTTTCTCTCATATTTAAGAAGAAACCACTTTTCTCAGTGAACGTGCTCAGTTAGGCCCATAACAAAGCTGTTGAAAAACAAAAGATTTATCTAGAACAATTTAAATTTAACAGAAACCCGTCAAGGCAAGCATCCCCCCCTTCCCAAGAGTATGCATCATGGTGTTAACTGTAAAATCTCATGCAAACGGTTGCATGCATAAGGTTAAAATCAATTGAAGCAAGAGAAACAAGACTTTGGGAGATTCAACAGATCTCGTGGAAAGTATAGCTGATAGAAGCTGCTTTTCCTTTCTGACCTGTGCAGCAGCTAGTGCACTCTTGTGGTCTTCCAGTGTCACTACAAGCTGGTCGTGTTGGGAGAGTAAATTCTTATGCTGCTGCTACATAAAAAAGAAGATTGTTACATGTTTCAAAGTTTGTTTTGCATTGAGCCACCATGACCTGAAGTTGTTTAAACGTAATTATATTCATATACATATTTTAAATTAGAAGCAGCTAATTATAAAAAAAAGAATTAAAAACATGGAGAGAAAAAAAAAAAAACAGGAATTACAAAAGTTAAAAGTTGTAGAAGATGTGGATGACTATAGATGCCACCTGAAATGCAATCCACTTCAATATTCTTTACCAAAAAACAAAATATGATACAAGACGTCTTTGCTTTTGCAAATAAGACACACATCACACCTAATCTTACTGTAAGGTTCAGAAATGGTTTCCTTCAGTATTATAACCAATTAAAGTATTCTTCCTCATGCTCTTTTCATATCCATCATTATTTTTTAATGAGTGGCTAAATAGCAGATACAGGAGATAAGTGTATTTTGGGTTAGTCTTGCTCTTCTTCCTGTCAGCTTCCAAAAGCTGCAGGTTTACATTGTAACAAGCCCAAATCCTCAACTCTTAGCAAAACATTTCATGTATGCCAAAACCTAAGTTCACCTTTAGAAAACAGAAACTTACCTTGACATCTTGTAGCTGAGTATGGATATCTTGATGTGCTTTTCTCAACTGTCTATTCTCTTCTCGCAAATTATACAGAGATTCTATTAAAAAAAAAGAAAACAATACATAGGAAGTGAACCACATAGCTGGATTTACATATCAATTTTAAAATACTCTTCAATGCCACTGAAGTTGAATTCAAAATGTACAAAACTAAAGACTGTATTTATAATCCTTAAAATACTGCTGAAAAATTTCTACTACATAAAATAATACTTGAAATATAGTAAAATGTTTCATAGTTTAGTTTCATAGGGTCAGAAGGGACCTATTAGATCATCGAGTCTGACCCCCTGCCCTGGACAGGAATGAGTGCTGGAGTCAGATGACCCCAGCCAGGTGTCTGTCCAATCTCCTTTTAAACACCTCCAAGGAAGGGGACAGCACCACCTCCCTTGGAAGCGTATTCCATATTTTGGCAACCCTCACTATAAAGAATTTTCTCCTGATGTCCAATCTGAATTTGCTCTCTTCCAGTGTGTGGCCCTTATTTCTAGTTACATCAACAGGCACCCTGGTAAGAATTGTATCCCCTATTTTTTGTTGGCCCCCTCTGATGAGTTTGTAAGTGGCCACGAGATCACCACTCAGCCTCCTCTTGTGCAGGCTGAAGAGGTTCAGGTGTCCTAATCGGTCCACATAGGGTTTTTTCTGTAGGCCTTTAACCAGATGAGTGGCCCTCCTCTGAACCCTCTCCAGGCCATCCGCATCCCTCTTGAAGTGCAGTGTCCAAAACTGGATGCAGTGCTCCAGCTGCAGCCTGACCAGTGCCGCATGGAGGGGAAGTATCACCTCCCTAGACCTGTTAGCGATGTACCTACTTATGCAAAAAAGGGTGCAGTTAGCTTTACTTATTACCTCATCACACTGGTGACTCATGTTCATTTTGGAGTCGACTACTAGACTACTACTCCGAGATCCCTTTCCACAGTTGCGCTCCTTAGAGTGGTACCTCCTAGGCTATAGGAGTGTTGATGATTCTTTCTTCCCAGGTGCAACACATGCCACTTATCCTTGTTAAACTGCATCCTATTCTGTTCTGCCTATTTCCCTAGCCTGTCGAAATCAGCCTGGGTTCACTCTCTGCCATCTAGTTTGTGTACCTCCTGCCAACAGTTTGGTGTCATCAGTAAACTTGGACAAGGTGCTTTCTACTCTCTTGTCCAAGTCACTAATGAAGATATTGAATAGTACCAGTCCCAGGACAGAGCCTTGGGGGACTCCGCTGCCTACATTTCTCCAGGAAGAAACTGACCCATCCACCACCACTCCCTGGGTGCGTCCCATAAGCCAATTTTCTACCCACCGAACTGTGTAATAATCTACATTGCAAATGTTTAGCATATTTATAAGAATTGGGTGTGACACTATGTCAAAGGCCTTTTTAAAATCTAAGTAAATAACACCTACCTCTATTCTTTCATCCAAGCATTTTGTGACCCAGTCATAAAATGAAACCAGGTTAGTCAGACAGGATCTGCCTGCTATGAGCCCATGCTGATTGCCCCTTAACATTATTTTACCCACTGGCCCCCCACAAATGTGATCCTTAACAATTTTGTCAAAGGTCTTGCCAAGGACAGAGGTTAAACTAACTGGCCTGTAGTTACCTGGTTCCTCCTTCCTCTCCTTCTTGAAAATAGGGACCACACTGGACCTTTTCCAATCCTCCGGGACCTGTCCTGAGCGCCATGAGTGCTCAAACAGTTGTGCCATCAGTTCTGCTGTGACTCCAGCTAATTCCCTAAGTACCCTAGGATGAAGATCATCAGGGCCTGTTGTCTTGAATATATTCAACCCCTCCAGGTGCCCCTTTACTAGGTCAGCATGAACAGTTGGTGGGTTGGTATCTATACTGGGCTTACCTAAAGTCCCAATAGGATGCATATTTGTTTTCATGTCCAGGAACACAGATGCAAAGAAATCATTTAGAAGCTCGACTTTGGCCATCCTATCTGTTACCAGTTGCCCTAGTTCATCCTGAAGGGGCCCCAAGTTACCCTGCACCTTCTTTTTACTTTCTATGTACTTGAAGAATAACATTTTGTTATCCTTAACTTTTGCTGCCAGCCTAAGCTCCATTTCCGCTTTGGCTCTCCTCACCATTTCCCTGCAAGCTCAAGCCAACCTGGTATATTCAGGTATGCTGAAGGGTGCCACTGCTTGGCTTGGTAAGGCATGGTCTTAAGCTACTTTCTTGAGATGTGTATGACTGAAGGAGGTTCTATTTAAAAATCAAAAAATGTTTTCTACATTGACAGTAAATGCACATTAATCAAAGCTTATGTTGAGCTTGTTGCTGGTATCTTCCAGGGTGTGAAACATTTAAAGGGAAGTCTGTTAAATTCAAATTATTTTTTAGATGCAATTGTTTTTATATAACTCTCTTCTCAATTCTTGATGGAGAGCCTGAGTACTGTGCTGTACATTTATGCTGGGAATGGCAGACAGCAGGAACTTCAGGTGGGGTCTATTTTGGGACTTTCACACAAAGTAATTGCCCTCAGCCTTCTTCCTCTCTCCAGGCTGCAGTTGGAGGGTGGAAACTTTCACTCTTAAGACTTAGTAATTTTACTGTAGGCAGTGACTGGATGACCAGCATTGCAAAGAAGTATGGATAGAGGTAAAGTGTTGTCACAGGACAGTAGTGGATGCAACCACCAGGATGAAGCATTATGCTAAACCTTGCCTTTGCAGAGAACATTTTGGGTTGGCCCCTTTTGATTTGCTATGAATTAAAGTAGGCTCCTTTTTTCAGCTCTTAGGCACCTCCAAAAAAATCACCCAAGGTGTTGATGGGGCCTAGGGTATATGGCAAAGGTCATTAGTCTAGACTTTGTTTTCCACCACTGTACAACTAGGATGGACAAGTTATATTCAAAGACTACTCCAGAATCTGACAGTGACAGAAAAATAAGCTATACTTTGTCTTCGAAGTGTTTTATATACCACGCCCTCATAACACCACATCTAAGCAGATAGCCAGCTTTCTTACAGACAAGTGTCCTCCTTTTACATATCAAGAAAATAAGGTAGGGAATGTTAAGTCATTTCCAATGGGTACACAGATAAGCCAGTGGCAGAATTAGCAAATGTCTCGTCTTCTAACGAGATGCTGATTAAGCACAAGAGAAAGAAAAAAAGGGCCTTTTTTCAGTTCTGAAAGTGGCTCAAAACTGAAAACAAAAAGAGGCAAAGTGAAATGCTGTAAACGTTGTTCTTTTGAATCCAGCCACTAACATGTAAAGGATTTTAGATTTAAGACTCTTCACTTTATCTCAAACCCAAATAAAAGTAAAAAACCAAAACATGCTAGCTGGAATTCCAGTAAACTTCTAAAAATAAAGGATACAGAAACCAGAGGCTTGAATAGTAAACTTAAGTTGACATGTTTTTAACCAAATGGCAAAGCAGGATCTGATGAGTAAAAGACCTGGTATGGAGGTGAATCAGTATCTCTATTCTTATATTCTCACACTAGTCTTGATAGGTTTAGAAAGCAATGCCAAGTTTAAATCCGTGTAGCAAAACAGAGGTTGTACTTACCCTTCAGTTTGGAGAGCTCCTGCTCCTTTTCTTGCTGCAATTGCAAATATCTCTGCTTGTGATCGTTGAACGTTCTGCTAAAATCTTCTCCTTGTTTTCGGTGTTCATCCTCAAGATCAGTATGCTGTTTCTTTAGTTCTTCATGTTGACTCTGCAAATGCCAAAGCTGGATGTTTAAAAGAGTTCTGTATCTGCACATCTGGCTAATATTGTCTTTGGCAGTTTGTTAAATAAACCCAGATGAATAGAAAGCATTCAGAACAAGGAGTTTCTTATTTAAAACTGGAATGCTATGAAGCCCATCCAACACAAGCCTAGGGATATACCATCCCCACTGGCAGAGGCAGTACCCCTCTGGAAGCTCCCAAGTGTGCTCTCTCAAAGAATCCCTCCATCAATAACCTGGACACACAGTAGTATTACAAATCAATATGGTTAATGTGCCTGCTGCCTCTAAAGCCAAATCTGGAACATGACCTGTAAGGAGTAAAAAAGGGAAACTCCACAGCATGTTCCAGGAGGTCCCCTCACATACGACTCAATCCTGTTCCTATATGGCATGTCTAGATGAGCGAGCATGTGCCGATTACGGCATCTCAAAGCAGCTCGAAATGCCGCAAGAGAGACACACTGGGAATGAAAACATGTTCCCCATGCTGCATATTTGCAGTTCAGACTCTAAATATGAAACCAGGAAATCCTGGTATCAAACAAAAAAAGCCATGCAGAAAAAGGCGGCATAGAGCACGCTCCAGAAGCGTGCCCTGAAGCAACTGGAGGCTGGTTCCTCCATAGAGATGCTCTAGCACCCACCAGAGCATCTCTATGGCTGCCCCATGCCCCTGCTCCTCCCAAACGCTGCCTCATACCCAAAAATCCATGTTCTTCCACAATTAAAATGAAATGTCAGTGTACATACATATACACATTAGGGCTGCGTGAAGCTTTAAAGCTCCGATTTGATTCGGTGAAGATTCGGTCCAATCAGCGGCTGAATCTCCAAATCCAAATCTAATCAGGAGACCCTTTTTTAATCTCTCTGAATCAAATCAAAAGCCTCCGAATTGATTCAGAGAGATTCAATGACTTGGACATAAACACAACTTTATATGTTTTTTCTACATACCTCAAGAGACCAGACAGCTCGTGAACGCGGGGATGGTGGGGCGGACGGAGCATCCCACCGGAGCACGGGGAGGGTCCCTAGCATGTTCGGTGGTGAACCCGGAAGTGGACCAGAAGCACTTCTGGTCCACTGCAGAGCACATGGGGGGAGCCCCCCCATTCAGTCCCCCACCTCAGCAACTGGAGGATACCTGGGGTCCCACTGTGGCTGATCACTGAGCTGGGGGGGTGCACGCTCAGCTGCGGACCCAGAAGTGAACCAGAAGTACTTCTGGTCCACTTCCAGGTCTGCTGCCAAGCATGCGGGGCCCCCCGCCCCCATACTCCTGTGGGATGCTCCATCCACCCCATCTCAGCGTTCACAAGCTGCCTGGTACCTCGAGGTATGTAGAAAAAAATATATAAAGCTGTGCCTATGGCTGAATCACTGATTCTCCAAATCAGAATTGAATCTTCAGATTCAGATTCGGCTGAATCAAAGAGTGATCCAAATCAATTAACTGAATCACTGTCCCCCGAATTGGGCTGAAGCTGAATCCGGAGCAAACATGGCCTGCTTCATGGTGGTGAGCTGGAAGGGTGGGAAAGGGAGTTGGGATGGAAGTGACTATTCATCCAGGGAAACTATAATAGCGGAAGCAGAGCTGGGCCAACATTGAACCCCTTCTGAAAAACCTTACCCTAAAGCCATAGGAACCTATGGCACAGAGTCTACCTTTTTGCTATAGTAAACTTTAAAACATAGTGAGCCATAAAGCAGAAATGAAAAAAAAACCAAAAACCTACATTTTCCTTTTTTCCCAATAAAAGCTTTAAAAATGTTAAGCAGATATTTAATGTATTATCCTACTAACACATCCACAGGACGGAAACTGTCATATAGTTTTATGATTTTCAAAATTATTTTAGATCTCACTTTTCAGTTATCTTTTCAGTATCTTTTTGCTGAGTATAAGGAGTATTCCAAGATGAAAAATATCTAAAAACTCTTAAATGGAATTAAGTTCATCCTTCCTCATGAAAGGACAGTATCTCTTCTAAACAATATGCTGACCCTTAGAGAAAGGCTAAGAGTGAGACCAGTTTCAATACATCCTTGAAACTACAGGATATTTGGCTCTTCCCCTCCCCCCTGCACTAGATCTTTTATTACTTACCTTCAGCATTTGGTGCTGTACATTCAATGCACTGTACCTGCTATTTGAATCTTGCTGTAAAATGAAAATACTAGTATTAATTTAGGGAGAACAGAATCACATACCCTAATACACTTTCATGGCCCTACAGATTCATACTGGAAAACTGTAAAGTAGCAACTGCAATTCACCTCGGGACTGTTAAGGTTTGGTTTGGTTCTGAAAGGTACCAGATGCATCTCTTCTATAATGGCTGCAATCTCAGTGGGTTTTTACTTATGGTACTACTGCCCCCACTCTAGACTCAAGATAAACCGCAGAGTATTTTAACTTTTTGTCATTAAAAAGAATTCTTTACAGACAGGGAGTATATTTCCACTGTCAGTTATAGCTTTTTTCCTGGCAGATATTACACAAACCTAGCTGTCTTGAGAATTTTAACTTTACAGTCCAAACAACCTTGCTTACAAGGCTCTGGCTCAATCCAAAGGAAGAAAAAAATACAGGACGGTAACTACAGGATTTATGATGCCTTCTTATCTCAATTTCTTGTCCTACTCAGTTTTCTTCAAATCAAGATTGGCTGACAGAAGACAGCCATTATAAAAAGGAGGGTATCATTAGCTTCAACTGTTATAGCAAAACCAGAGGATTTTTTTCTCCAAAGTAATTTCCTTGGAAGAAATTATAGCCTCTTGTTATAGCTCACATCATTAGGATCTTTCTAACAAGGGCCATTTAACACAGACAGCAGAAATGAAAGAAGTGAAGGCTTCAATTAGGGTTTTGTAAGACTTATCTTTTTGAATGGCTATTACATAATCTTTCCTTCCCATTGTAAGTGGAGTAGTATCAAATATTCTTCTCTGGTATCAACTTCATCTGTATCATATAATATTTAAATGTACATACTTTTACTTACCCTTCCTTTATTTAGTGTTTCCTGTGCCTCTAATTTATAAACAAGGAAGTCTAGAAAATAAAAGACAACCAGTATTGGAGAAATACTGTACTAAGAAAAAGGGATTAGAGTTACCCATTTTCCAAATTCTCTTCACGTATATGGAAAATTTGCACATACACATGTGCTCACACACACAGGAACTGCAGTAAGGGACTGCTGCATTTAGCTTGTCTGAGGAACTAAATAGGAAACAGTCTAAATTTTAGTCCAATCCTTAGTTTCTCAAAATACCTGCATATACTACCAGAACTTCCTGTTCTATTGTGCAGTACAAAGTATAGCAAGCCAACCTCAGGACTATAGCTGGAAACAGAACCTAGTATGTAAGCTCCCCAGGTCAAGAGCCACTTGTATCAATCCCAAAGAAAGAAGAACTTCTGTATTACAGCAAATTAATTTTAAATCCTCTTTGTCCATAATCAGAAAATATTTTTTTTCTTATGAAAATAAGCTGCCATTTAAGTAACTGGAGCTCTATCGTCCACTAGATGGCGCAAGAAAACCATAAGCAGCTTTTAATGCCTTTTGTTCCAAGGACCAAAAAAACACCTAATTTACAGGAACTATTTTTAGAAAGAGCTCAGGATGGACTTTCATTATATCATAGCTTAAAGTTTCTTGATAGAAATGTAAAGCCATAAAAAAAAAATTTAAAAAATCAGAACTTCTGAGTCAAGGCTTTGCACTTCATTAATGTTTTTGCATCTCATGCATGGCTTGGCAAGCTGGCAATTGTAGACACATGCATATACTTATCACAGTCCAGCACAATATATGCCCAGTATTACATCATTCAAGGACATCCAAGTTTGATGATCAGAATCATCACTATTCAGGAAGGGTGCTGAACTTGAAGGATACATGCTAGTTTCTGACTTAAAACCTAATTGTATGCATCTAATGTGAACATACACATGGTCTTATAGATTTGTCTTGGGCAAGGTTTTGTAACTAGACAGAGGATTTACACATGTAAACACGTGAAATGGTCACACATTATGCAGTGTCTAACAGCCTCTTGGCATCAGTATGGAGATGGGGGCTTTATGTTTACAGACAGGCCTGCCAAGTATTTATAAAGACGCATTATGTAAAAATATTAAAGGGATATATCAATTTAAATTAAATCTCTCTGAAACCTGCAAGATTCAAGGCATTCAAGTTAACTGAGAAATCAAATGAAAAACAAGTTTTACCTTCTTTTGCTTTCTTATGCTCAAACCTTTCCTTTTGTAAAGACTTCTCTAATCTTGATCTGTGCTCATATACAACTGAAAAGAGAAAGTTTTGAATGTTACATTAGATGCAAAATAAATTAAAGGAAAAACATAAATGCATAATAAATAGTAGAATGTGCCCAAATGCTACAAACACAGTAAAGCATGGAGACTTGTAACTTAACACCAGTTAAGAATCTGGTCCTTCAAGTTTAATCCTAGAATACTGCTCTAACGTTTTGTTTGTGCTGTTAGTCCAGTCTAATGAGTTAAATGCTCATAATTCACTTAGTGGGGCAGTTGATGCTGGTAAACCTAACATTAGACCTACCAGCTTATTTTTATTCCTTGGATGTGCATGTGCAAATGTACACAGGCAATAGTAGTAGGACAGATGAGATTGGAGGGATGGGTTTGATAGTTAAGATGCCAGCCTGTCCTGATGCAAATTCCTCCTCTGTCACAGACTGTGTGTAGCCAAAGGCAACTTGCTCACAGTTTCTGTATACCTCAGTTCCCAATCTATAAGGCAGGGATAACAGGACCTCCCTATCTCGTGATGACATTGTGAAGATCAACATGTTGAAAACAGATGCTCAGATATATGACCCCAACTCCATAGCAAATACCTTAAGCATCAAAATGCATAATGCAGCTTTTGCTGCTAGCAGCACCCAAATGCAAACCTGAGATTTTAGAATGTACCACTTATTTTTGAGCTCCAGGTTGACACAGGAAAATGAATAGTCTTGGTAAAATGCTAGATTTAAATAAATACTATTTAAGTGAATAGTATTGGTGAAGTACTTTTAACCTGCAGAAAATATGGGGCTTATCATTCTTACAGTAACTCTTGAACTCAGAAAACTTTTTTTTACATCATTTCAAATGTCCTCATTCAGGAAAACGTTTGTTTTAGAAAGGAACTCAAACCCCACAGATTTCAAATGAGAGTTAAACTTTCAACTAGCTTTAAAGCACATGCTGATGTCATAATTCCCAGGCTCTCTTTCACAGGTTATATTCATTAAAAGAACTCTGGCAAGCCAATTCTTTTGACTTTTTTAGCTAGTACTGTTATATACAATACTACACATTTTTATATTTAAATTGAGAAACGAATTTTGTTTTTCCGCTTTGTATATGTAATAGTATCGTCTTTCTAGTTAGTTTGCTGTTTTTCCTGTACAGTCAATCAATTCTCCCAGGTATTGAGAGAAGTTTTTCAGGCAGCCACTAAGAAGAGAAACATTTTTAAAAATAGGACGTAAAAAAACAAAACAAAAGAAACCCCCCCCCTCCCCCCCCCACCTAAAAAACAAAAAGCCAGCAACACGCATCACCAAGCTGTCGTGCCATTTCAGATGCATGCTGGCTGCCCATAAAACTTTTTAAATAGTCCAGGCTGTAAATTGATGTAACCTACATTTGTTATTTAAATAGACAGAAGATGCATGCAATAAATATTTGTCTGTATAAGTAGGTAATGTAAAGCAAAACATATAAAGAAGTCTTGATTTTTGTGGATATGATAGCAAAACTTATTGATGCAATAAGTTAGTTGACCTCAGGGAAACAACAAACCTTGACAGTCATCAAAACAAATCAATATATATATTGTTAAGATCACTGTTGCAATCATTCAAGAAACCCAGCTGGAACTGTATCCAAGTAGATGGAAATGTATGAAGATTTCTTCTATCCTTTAAATAGCTTTTATTAAAAAAGGAATGAAGACCCAGAGAAATAAATGTTTTCTTCCTTCAGGGTTTTGTCTGAGCTCATTTCAAACTAGCCATTTGTAAATATGATTTGATAGGTATAGGACAGGTTGGCAATGCTATTAGGGTCTTGTTACATGGTAATTTTGGGCAGCTCCCAGGGCTCTTAACCCTGGATTGTTTGAACATTAATATCCAAAACCAGCTTGAAGCACTTGTTAGGCGGCTTAAAAAGTTATGCCACTCCAGGGCTTGATTATTTCTGATCTCTGCTACCCAACTCATGATACACTAAGGTGTAGCCACTCTAGGCTACACCTTACTGTAAAACATCCACTGCACTGTCTGTCCTGCAGAAATAGGCGGGGAAGGGTGAAACTGCTTGCCCTGCTGCCAATGCTGCTGCTGTGCTCTGGACCTGAAGAGCAGCAATGGGCAAGTTAACCCTCCCTGCCTGCAGAAAGTGCAGGTAGCCACAAGCGATGCCCCAGGGGGTATGGGGAGGCAGGGGGAAACCCCAGGTTGGATTCCTTCTTTTCCATCCTCCAGACCCCTGCTGGCCTGAAGTCTGACTGCTCCAAAATCAAGCTAGCACTAGCACCAATCAACAGTTGTGCAGCTCACAATGTAAGGTATAACAAGGCCCTTACTAACTCCAGTGACCTCAACACTAGAATCAGGATGACGATAATGTGTCAGCAAACTATGAAAATGTTATTCCTAATCTGTATGCTTTGATTAGTTATCTACAGTAGCACTGTCATGGTTAGGCTCCATTTCCTTGTGAAATGCAGTCGTGTGTGCTAGATTATTTATCACTTAATATCAAGCTGACCAGTAAAATGCTTTCTGTATACCCTTATACAAACACTGAAGAAAAAAAGCTAGGAAAAATCCTGCAATAACACTATCTGACCAGTAAAAAGGATAATATCCTTCCTTAGAAATAACTTGATCAATGTTGGTTTCAATTTTTTTTATTCTCTGAAGAACATGTCTTTTTACTTTCTTCTTAGCTAAGAGTTTATTTCTTTGCTTACCTTCTCTATTCACCTGGACCTGACATGCCTAAATATATTTACAAGACTCTTTTGACCCTATAATTTCAAACACCACAGTTTGGGCTAGGCATAAAAACACGGGATGTTTATGTTGTAGATTTTTTACTCTCTGCTATATCATTTAGTTCTTTGGCTAAATCTACGTGGTAATTATCAGGTAAGAACTAGAATCTATTCTTAAGAAAGAACTCTGCTAGGGTTTACTGTATGGTGGTGGACAGTGTTCATTTATCTGATAAGCTTCTTTCCTCCTCCTCCATTTTGCTTTTAGGGCAAGGGACAGAAATTACACATAAACTGGTATAAGTGATCGGAAACCAGTTCAGATCTGTAACACAACAGAAGCTTGGTGCACATAAACTGCTTTCAAACTGGCCGAAACTATTTTAAGATAAACCTGGATGGAGGTAATATCAGACTTAACTGATTTAGGTTAAATCATCTTATTGAACTTCTCTGTCTCAGATCCCCTCCAGATTCAAGTTAACTCAGTCTGCCAGCATCCCAGGATGGTTTGCACCTCCCCCACAACCCCCTTGCAGGGTGGGCAGGCTGGCCTAGGCCCAAGCCGTCTGCTCTCTATTGTCCCCCAGCTTCTGGCCTGGGCCACTGCAGACAAGTGGTTGCAATTCTGGAATCAAAAGTGAATGTCTGTTCATTTGCTTATCGGTTCAATCTATGAAGTTTAAACTGACCTGTAAAAATTGAATCAATGCCTGTACTTAGCCTAAGAGTCTGGCTAGACAGGTTGCTGGCCCCTGGTCTAGTGGAACCCTATTTCCCATGGAACCAATGGATCCAGCCCACAGGCATGGGGCTTCAATGGTGTTCAGTGGTTGGGGCAGCTTCAGCTGTGGGCGCTCTCCTCGTGATGCCACAGGGAGAAGTGGTGGCTGTGGCTGGGTTTATCAGCCTGCCTCTGACCCAGAGAGGATCATTCTGGCCTGCAGCCGTAAAAGGTTTACCGACCCTTGTAGAGAGTTTGATACCATGTAATAAGCAACTCATTTAGGGCATAATGGTATTTTTTTTCTGAAAAGCCCTTTGAAACAAATGGGAAGCTAATTATGTTTTGAGGCAAAGTATGCAGGACATCTCACAAGGGCCTCAGGACTGAGCAGCAAAAGTATGTGCCATGTCACTTCTCTTTAGTGGTAGCTAGCCTTTCCAGAAAAGAGGTTTACAGCTGATCCAGACTGGCAACAGGAATTAGGCAGTGCTGAGGAACCCGAGCTCTAAAGAGAGCTGCACCAGTAGCCGCAAAACTGTGCAGGTGCCCAAATTCTAGCAGTGCTTCTGCTTTGGATGACAAACGTTCCTCCAGCACCTCTCCAGTTGAAGAAGCTGGGACACTGGGGAGTCGAGAGGGCAGGAGCCATGGGGACAAAAGGAGAAACAATAAACAAGGGGGCCCTGACCCTGCAATGTGGTGATAAGGATTCTCTTCTGGGATGACACCCGAGTTGCCAGCCCTGCTCTTAGGGTTATTGCCTGTCTAATGTAAGATGCATTTGGCGATGCCCAACTTTCCCTTTTCTCCACATAGATAGCCATGGTGCCTACCCCTCAATCACTCTTTGGAAGTACTCAAGTCTCCTCATAGGCATCTTAGAGGCCTGATCTTCTCAGTTTGGATTACTCTCCTGGGGCCAGCGATGTTTCAGTATCTAAGTCAGGGGTGGGCAAAATTCTGCTGACAGGCCAGATGTGGCCTGCTAGGCCATTCTATCTGGCCTGTGGGGCCCCTAAAAAATTTAGAAAGTTAATATTTATCTGCCCCTGGCTGCCTGTCATGCAGCCCTCAATGGCTTGCAAAACTCAGTAAGTGGCCCTCCGCCTGAAATAATTGCCCAGCCCTGATCCAAGTGCAGGCATCTCAGTGACCAGTCTGAATCTGACCAAAGTCCAGTCACTGTGATGTTTTTACCATCACATCACCCTCTCTTAACTAAAGAGTTTCATATTCACTATGTCTTTTGATCTTGTAATTCAGCCAAAAGCCTACCTAGCAAGCAGCTTAAAGTAAGCTTCACGATGTCACTACCTTTACACATTATAGTAAACAATTATCTTGTACCCACAGGATATGTTCTAGAAGTAGTGAAAGAAAAAAACATTTCTCATGTGTTATATGGTTATTTGACCATCTAGCAAAACTACATGCCTTGCTTGACAACCAGTAAGATCCTTCTTAGCATCCTGGGAAAGTCCAGGAAAGCAAAGCAATCTTTTTTGCTATTATGGAAAGTTCTCACAGGAAAGATTAAAGTTC